CCACCATCTATCATCCATCCATCAATCATCCATCCATCCATTCATCTATCATCCATCCATCTATCATCCATCAATTATCCATCCATCCATCCAGCTATCATCTATCAATCCATCCATCCATGTATCATCCATCCATCATCCATCCATCTATCCATCCATCTATCATCCATCCATCAATCCATCATCCATCCATCCATTCATCTATCATCCATCCATCCATCCATCCATCCATCCATCCATTTATCCATCCATTTCTACACCTCTGTAATCAGAAGCAGAGGATAAAAGAAAAATGGAGGATATTATGGTAAACGTTGATAGAAGCAGACATGCTAGCAGTTAGCCTGGTAGATGGAGAAGCTTATGACCTTCATGGAGCCAAGATCTAACATTCCTCTGAGAGCAACAGGTTTAAAGCTCTGCTACCAGAAGAAAGGTGGAGTCCACTTCATCCGCTTCCTGTTTAGCATTAGGATCCCATGCAGGTTGTGCTTCATCGTAGATGCTCCTTTCTGGTTTTGGATGTAGAAGTTGGAGCTGAAGCATTCTGATGATGATGGTAAAGGATGAAGAACCTCCTGATGGTTTAGATTGTTTAGAGAAAACTGCAGATGTTTGCACAGTGGGCGTGACTGTGTCCACCTGACCGAGGTCTCCTGGCATCTGATCATTCATCTGAAGGTCAACCAGATTAGGTTCAGGATGTTTCTGACCAGCTTCTTCTCCCCTGACAGCATGGCCATCATTTATGGAGTCTTCTCTGCATCCAACCTGGTGGCCCCCTCTGTGGTTACGGTCATTGGGCCCCAGGTCTCCATGTTCCTCAGCGGCCTGTTGTACAGGTTGGTCTCCTCACAGTGACACAGCTGAAGCTTCCTGGGTAGCAGCAGAGCGCTAACAAGTCTCTGTATCATCCTTCACAGCGGCTACATCGCCATGTTCATCCACCCATTCACCTGGAGCTTCTACACGGCGTCTGTGTTGGTGGGAATCGCTGCTGCAGGTAGAGCAAGGCGCCAATCGACCCAGAAGCTCCTCTGCCTCTTGGTTGTGGTGTTAATGTTTTCCTCTGGTCTCCAGTTCTGTGGACGGCTCAGGGAAACGTTCTGACCATAAACTCCACCGACAGAACCATCGGCAGGAACAGCGGCATATTCTGGTCGCTGCTGCAGTTCAGGTAAAGCTGACAGTAGAACTTAGGCCAAGTTCATAGTTACTAGGCCATGAACAGGTCCTACCTCAACATGAGGAAGAACCCATGAGGCCATGAACAGGTCCTACCTCAACATGAGTAGGAACCCATGAGATGAGGAACAGG